CTTCGACATTTGGCGGGGCTACCATGGCAACGGACCATGATTTCATGTAACTCTAAACTTATTGACATTCCTTGACAAACATTGGATAAATTGTTCAACATACACACACTCACGTAGTAATGGACATTAAAATGTTCTAGGACATAATAAGCTTACCTTTTCATTATCTGATCACTTTAGGTGTCAAAATTATACATTATATTACTCATATTTTAAACATTTTATTTTAGATGTTAATTTCCTACTCTATATCGAAACATCTTTCCATTATTAATAGCCTCAATTAAGAATTTAGCAACATGCACACAATATAAATTGACAGCAGATACAAACTTATTTACTTCAGGCATATGTTCAAAACAGGATCTAAAAGTTACATTTTGATAAAAGGCTTTCTCGTTAATCATTACATTTTGTGAAATTTAAAAGAAAATGAGTGTCCTCTTCTACAGCATTTACCAGTATTTCGTAAACATTTACACCGACATATCTTCCGGTTTCTTTCTTTAACAGAAATATACCACATCGGAATTCGTTCAACCTTGTTAATGACGAAAGCAAATAATTTTCAGTATTACAATGCTGTTTAAATTCAATATATGTTTCAAAGCAACATTTCTAACATTATTACACCAACCCGTTTTATATATCATAAACAATGCATTTTCAACATCTTTTAGGTTTACATGTAACTTGTATTCATAGCAGTGTGACATTTAAATTTGATGCAGGATAATCTTTACATTACAGCACCATATTTTTCAGAAACAATTGTTATCATAGATAGGCATTTATTTTTGGAAATCTATCGTCCGGCATATTAGTATCTTGGATATACACGCATGATGCATATGCTGTTGTTTGTGTTGAACAGTTCATTAAAATGCTGATATAAAACATCAATGTTTGTCAATTAAGAAATTCAGTAGCAATTTACAAATTATCATTTTTCAGCTCTTGTAATTTAAATGTAATCTGTATTGCGAATGGCCATGACAGTTGTTCTTAGAGGAATATTCAATAAAAAATAAATCCAGTGTAGCATTATAAATTGCAAATAAACTGTTCAATAATATAATATATTCGTATATGCAAATCCCTGATATTGTATTATACTTATTTCTTTAATATCTGGTTATAATATAGAGGCTATACAAGTAGTATAACATTAAATAAATTTGAATATAGTATTATGAGACCATCTGACTAAGACAATTCAGGTATTTAAAAAAATGACTTGTAGTATCTTATTTAATACAAAACAGAAATGTTTTTAAAAGTCATTTTTACAATGGAATGCAGCAAGCATTTCCAATATTTCAATCTGGCCAACTTTTTCAACCCAGAAAAATAACAAAATAAACAAACAAAACAGAATTTTGCACAAAACGGATTCTTCTCCCTTTCGCACTGTTTGGGCGAGAAGATTTTCGCCAAAACATCAACATCAGTATTAACAACAGGTTTACATAGAAATTAATAAGAATGACAAAACCATCAATTGAAATTCTAAATTTAGAATAATTTGGTTTTATTCAGTCTAATTATATAAAACATCATCGTGACCGAGGGGCTGCACGCTCGTTTACAATGTGAGAGGTCTGGAGTTCAAATCTCAGTCGTGGCAACTAATTTTTTTCTAAGAGATTTAAAAAAAAAATTAGCCAGGATATGCAAGGGTATATTATGGCTGTCATAAAGAAATGAACATAAATGATTTCATGATGCAAGAAAAAACTCTGGTTATACAAAATTCCGTATGTATCAAACTCAAACTGTTATAGCAAAAAATCTAAACGCAGTCGCTGCAACTCGGTGCCCTGCAAGATTAATTATAGTATTTCAAAATAAACTTATACAGAAAAAATACAGATTTAGATTGCAAAGATCAGAAAATACCACAAAGCTCGCAGCCATTTGATTTTATATGCAAATGTATTTGTAACAAGACCAATATGTTTTAAGTGACTGTGTGCACTAATTTATGTTGAGGCACTCTTTTTTAATGTGATTTTAAACGTTTTTTTTTTCATATTCTGTAAATATTTAACTTTGCATGAGAGTAATCACTTTCTAGAGGGGAATCACCGTACACACAAAAGAAACTGTATTGATACACTTTAACATAATTGATAAAGTCTCCATTAATAATAAGTTTGTTATGAATGAAGCTAATAAATAGACAATAAAATAATTTCAAAGCAGTTTACAAAAGACTCACTTTTTAAAACAGTTTGCAAAAGTGCATCTTTTAAACTTTATCAGTCCTGATAAAATTTAAAGTTCTAACACGAAGACAAACTTTAATATGATCGCTTATATGGTTCATTCTGGTGACAAGGGTAAAGAGAGTAAATAAACAGCATTGTTATTCTGCACTCCCTGGGACTGGATTACAACTAACACGAACACAATAAGCCAAGTGATCCATAGATGTTAAATTAAACAATTTACAAAAAATACATAAATATCTTCACAATTTTCTACCTTACCAACAATTTCTCCACATAAATACTTTAATTTAAACTAACGGTATATTAGAAAACAGAGGTTTTGTTTTGCAATGGCTATCAGTCCATTTGTTAGGCTTCGACATGAACAACTTTATAATATAGCCGATCTTTCCGTTGAGAATGTAACCACTGTCAATGCTGTTGATATACGTGTTGTCAAAAACTTCAAATGTTACAGATTTATTATGTTGATCAAATCCGCCTTTGTGAACAATCGTGCCATTTTTTCCATTTGGATGTCTATTAACGATTATGCAGAGTACATGTATATCACAGGCAGTCTTATATTCACCAATGCTTCTAACACCACAGTAAAGCTTACTGTTTACTTTTTTTGTGTAAATTTTAAGAGGGACCTCCCAAATCTCAATTTCAACTCCTTCACTCTCGTTGTTGTCAGGACAAATTGCTTCAAATAGAACTATGATCTTGTCGTCCCATTTCTTTTCAGGATCTAACTTCAAATCTGTTGTTCCCCGTAATGTTGACGATACATACTGCATTAACAACTCACATTTTTCTTCAACCTGTTCTAGCTCAGCTATCTTTCTCTTCATTGATGTATTAACATGTACAAATATCTCATTTAATGCACTTGCCGAAGGGAACGACTTACAGTAGTTTTCGTCCAATACATCACATGGCCTAGATGATATCAGAAATATGCATCGATCTAGCACGCAAAGTTTTAAGATCATACAAACATGCTTCCTTCAACAACTGTAAAAGATCATCCGTCGATGTTTCTTCTGTAACAGTCTCAAGTATAACTACTTCACATCTCGGTTTAAGCTGTAGGACCTGGTACTCTTCTAACAAAGGAAGAATGACCCTAGCATTGTCGCAATTAATTTGGGTGTATGTGTTCGGGTAAATACATCGAAGGAATTCTAAGACGTCCCTTAGTTTCTTCCCAGGCAATTCTAACTCGTCATTTGACTTTTCCTTAAAGTCAGATTGAAACATTGCATCAAATACTGGTGATGCAAGTGACAGAATCACCTTAGCTTTGCGACGTAAAGCTTTGTTCCTTCAACAACAAGACACAGATCAGTTCTCCAAGAGGGTTCAGTGAAACCGAAAGTAGGCGACTTATCTTCGGCCAGTGCCACTGATTCACTATCTTCATCGGCAACGATATTTTCAACTTCTGAACCCTCAGATTCGTTTACAATTCTGACGTTTTCACCTGCCTCCATATTAAGTGTAGTTCAGTAAAAGTTCGGTATGTGTAGTGCATATCAATCAGCTAACAATGGCGGTTATACATCAAAGGGAGGAAACCCGGATGTTTGATAGATGATATATAGCGGCAGGATCAATCGCAACTACTCGGCCCTTTCCGTCAGTCTTCGACAAAGGACCTCGAACACAATAGTATGAATACACAGAACGGATGCGGTATTCCGGTCTAACTTACGCTAAGAAACTAAACATGTAAACAAATAGTATAAATTTAATGCTGGGAGTTGTTGACAAGTTTATTTCCAATATATGTAGTAATAGTCCACCTAAAATAAGTGAATTCATAGGTACAAAAGCAAACAATACATTATTTATATTTACTAATATGGCTGTAGAAACCGAAAGTACAAAAAACCAAACCTGTTGACATTTAGTCGGATTTGTTCAAAATTGAACATCAGCGGGCATATTTAAATTACAAATTGTTGTCAGACGTATTTTCAAGAATAAGAGTACCGGAACAGACATTAGATGTCAAATATATACATTCGTTTTACATTATCTCTGTTTCTGTTTACATCTGTAAACCACGTGGTAGAACTACTTTCAATCCGTATTGTTTCCGAGGTTATTATAGATAATAGCCGAAGCAGTTCCGAATGGCGGCAGGATACTATATAAAACTAAGTTCACATTCAAATAATCTTATAAACGGTGACACCAATGTTTTGGTTATATTTACACCAATTTATTAGGGGTTTTATACCTCAACAATTATATTCTGTTATTATTACATTAGTTTTTTTTTACTGGATTTTGAACAAAATTTTTGGTTTTATCTCTACGGTTTTCCACCTTACCAACAACTTCTCCACAAGTGATTCACTACGATATATGCACTACTGTTATGGTTTATAACATACTACTTTAAATTTCTATTTGGACATTGAGTCTAATGGTCATTTGTCTCTGACCCCTGAAACAGAAGTCATGTATTAGTCAGGCATTTGAGGAGAAATTTCCTGGTTGAATATTTAGCAAAAATACTCGGACCGTTCGCCGAGATATGACCAATTTCGGCGTAAAAGCCAAACAAACGATCAATAAAATAATGGTGCTTTTCTTTAGTTAAAACCAAAGTTTGACTGTATTTGCAGGATGGTTTTCGGTTTTGTGCTGATATGTTAGGTGGTCTTCAGATGAGTTAGGCATGAGAAGGAGTCAAAGACAGCAGTTCAATCAGAGGCTGTATCAATCTAGGTGAAGATAATAATAAGAATAATAAGAAATTCTTTTATTAATATGTATTAATATTTTTAGTTTTTATTAGATTTATCCTAGTCTGATATAACAAATTCGTATTTCAAATTTCTATTTTTATTTCAAATCTAACAGTCTCCAGTTTTCCCACATGTGTTTGTATTGATACGTTAATCTATGTGTCCGCCGCATATGTTCCTGGAGTGTACAATACCGTCTTAAATAATCTTCCCTGTCTATAATAAAATAAGCCAAGGTGTGTATCTCGAGCTGAATATTTTTGAAATATTTCACCATTCCAGTTTCTAGTAGATTTTCTAGAACATCAAGTTCGCAGCCTTCACAGTCCATAGAAAGTAGATCTACACTGTATATTCCTACGCCAAGATTTTGGAAAAATTCTGTAGAATTAATGACACTTACATTTATTTTCTTCTGACCAAAATCATTCGAATAAATGTTCGAACCTTCGCCTTTGAATTCAATTTATAGCAATCGTTTCCGTCTTCTGTCCGAGTCCGAAATTTAGAACAGTGACCCTGCAGATATAAAATAAGATTTTTTTATGCAGTCATATAAGATATCTTTTTGCCTTTCTTTGTGTTATCTCTTGATTCATTGTGTATATGGAAAACAATTTTTAAGTTTAATACTGCCACTAGTTAAATTTTGTGTTGACATAAGAAAAAAACATATTTGAGGTAATGATATCCTTAAATTCTAGAAAGTTTCGCATAGTTCGTATGTTTTAGGTAAGTTATAATATAAAGTGATTGTCAATACAATCAGGAGAATAATTTTGTTGTCAATCACGGTGCTTAATAAATAAAAATAATGGGGAAGGTTTAAAATACGTAACGGAAAGTGAAGTTACCACTTCTTTTTTTCGACTAATATGAATAAGGTATATCGACATATGTACTACTTGATAAATAAAGATAACGGAAAGTGAACTTACTAGTTATTGATGGTATAAGTATTAATATCGAGTTTCGTAAGTATTTAATTTATTCATTGTTTTTATGACAAAAAATGAAATAAATGTCTCATGTTAAGATTTTTTTTATCTTTCGTTCTGTTATTTAGAAACATTTGATGTTGAATTTAATGCATCTTAAAATGCAGCCCTTTAAACATTAAATCTTCATATTGCAATGTTTACACTGTATTTTATATAACAAAATATATCTTACTAATGGGGAATCATTTAGGGCGTTTCAAGATCATTCTATCTGAAAGATCGTTGTATAGATACTTACCGCGTCTGCAAAATATAAGTAATGGAAAATCTTAATTGAAAAAAAGTAACGGAAAGTGAACCTACCGCTTTTTGATAAATAACTGAACGTGGCATTGCCACATTTTGACAAATATTGGTAACAGAAAATGATTTTTTTAATAAATGTACGTAATGACAAGTGACCGATAATTCAAAATTCAAGGGTTTACGGCATGATGGCGATGTTAACGTGTCAATCAACCGTTTTGACTTTTTCGCTAAATTTACAAAAAGATTCACAATTTTTGAACCTCCTTTTGGAGAGTGACAGTACAAACGCAGTCACCAAATTTTTTGTCAATGGAAAGATATTGTTCATTTCCTACCAACATACAGTAAACAATTACATTCACATAGAAATCTGAAAAAGTCTGTTTTATTAAAACAATTCACAAAGTATGAATAAGACCTTGTCTGTAAATGACTCTTGCTGCTTCTTTATCAATAAAATAACGGAAAGTTACCTTACCGCTTCTTGGTTAATACTGACAGCTGTTGCTGATTTTATGCTGGTTTAGCTTAGATATGTGACTTAACAGTTTACCTTGGATTGTCTTTGAATTTCTCTTGTAAAAGTGTAGCATAGTACGGTATCGGCTCAACTATCAGATGTCGTGGGTTGTAGACGGCGGTAAACAAGGAAGCATCTGACCCAAAGTTTCCTGGTTTTATATAATGGTGAAGTTAATAATTGACATTTTATAACACCCATCAACAGTTCGTATACTTTTCATCAGCAAATAATGTGGTTTTCAATTTTATAAGAATGCATTTTATGATTTAGATTTTCTTTTGAATAAACAGTATGCTGTCCATTTTTTCAAACAATAGATCACGCACTGCTATAGAATTCCTTATTTTTAAATAGATAGATTAGAGAATAACGGTGGTACAAAGAAATAGGAAAAGTTTATTTGTCACGTGCGCTCTTATAAACTACCATGAGCCTCACTCAAATTACAATGTATAACGTGCAGACGTATTAACTGCCAAAGGCACACGTGTCAAATATTTCGTGCGCACGTATAACTGGATGTATTTCAATTAATCTATCAGAGTTTGGGCATTATGGATAGGCTAATCCTAACCTTGCCTAACAATGTGCCGAATAATAGTTTCCGATCTCCCTTCTGTACCACCGAAACAAAAATACCTTACACAATTATAAATAAATTGTGAAGATAACATATCTTTTGATTCTTCAAATCCACAAATAATATACATGTACAGCTAAATAATTATGAAGCTCACACTTTATTCTCATTTTTTGTTCAAGCAACATTTCATGAAATTATCCAAATGAGAAAGTTCTATTGTTTTTATCACTATTTGAAATAATTATGGAAAATGTGCCCATTGCCGTAAAGATACAAATCAAAATACGTTTATGAATGAAATACCTTACCTCCAACCTCAATAAGTATCGTATTATTTTCTTTGAGATAATCATGATGATTGATGCAGACATATCTGTCCTTAGCAAAGTTCTCGGCGCCTTTTATCCAGTCGACATATTGCCGACAATGAGAAATCCTATTTATTTGATCATAGCTTAAAGAATGGTTGAACAAGGATTTGCCTCCAACAACAGGAGATGGATGTCCGTCCAGGAAAAGTTGTAAATGTTTATTATAAACCACTTTCTTTTGTTCGCCATCTGTAAAAAATATTCTTATATCCGAACTGTTTTCTTTTAAATTCTGATTTTGAGTACTGTTATACAAATAAATTATCAAAACAACTATCACACAAGCCGTCAGTATCCTTACGCCATTTAGCGTTTTCATTATTAATTAACAACGTTTAATATTTTCACGTAAAATTAAACTTTCCTAAATACACACATATATATTTATTGGCGTATTTGCCAGAGGCATTAATCAGTTCAGTTTTGAATAATGCGAGTCTAGCAAAACCATATGTTATATTTGTTTTAATATCATATATATTTTAATAAATGTAACATAATATGTTTATCTTTTCAATTTAAAAGACATTAGTGTTACGATGGATTATTGCAAATACTGTAATTTGTCATGGTTACCTTGTTTTATTTCTGAGTTTTATCGTGATTACCGTGGTTTATCATGAATACCTAGGTTCATCGGGGTTTATCATGGTAACGGTTATTTAGATTATTTACCGTGGTTTCTGCTGTCGTGTTTCGTGATTAACGCGTTTATTGTTGTACATGTAGTTTATCTCTGTCACTGTTGTTGTTGTTGTGCTTTTATTTATCGTTCCTATGTTTTTTTTCTTTTATCATAGTTATCGTGGATTATTACCGTTATTTTTATCGTGACTGTTGTGGTTTGTAGTTGATACCCTGTTACCGTCAGGGTTGCCTTTACTTTTTGTTGCTACCGTGGTTTATCGTGAATAGTATGGTAAATCACGATTACCGTAGTTAAAACGATTTATTACCGTTTTCATCGTATTTGTTGTGGTTTATCTTCGTTAGCCTAGTCTATTGTGAATTTTTCATACTACAAACATTATTAGGAACATAACGAATCAGCTACTAGTACCCTTAATAATACGCGCACTTCACAGCATTAAAGGGGCTCAACTCATAACACGCTGGAAAAAAATGTAATGATGCAGTTATCATTCTTATAAAGCTTCTGTCGTGCTGAACAAGTATATATCCTACGTGTTTTGATAATTACTTGTGATGGAATTTGAACAATTTTCTGATCTTTTACCTAAAAATAACTTCTCCAATTGTGAACAAAATAATGATGACGTGGCAAGAATAAGGTACGAATTTTTGAAAATACATCAGATCTTCCTTCAAAATTAATCATTGTCGAAAGTAGCAAATTCGTATTATCTGGCTGTATTCTCCTGACATATGCGATTATCTTTCATTTTAGCATCCATATCATCATCAGATCTTCATCGCAATTATCATTATCATCATTATCGGTACCATCATTGTTGTAATCATGATTAAATCATCATCATCATCTACAACATTTCATCATCACCATAATCAATTCGAAATATTATTTAAATCCCTTATTCATAATAAAAGGGTTATACATGTATATCATTTTTAAATGATATTTTTCGATGTTAAAGCTCAAAAATATATTAATTGAAATAAATGTTCATGTATATGTCTCATTTAAAACAACAAAAACAACAACAACTAAAAACAACAGTATGACGAGTATCGGACTTCGTGCAATAAAGCAATAACAATTATTATTTATGAAAGTGACTTTTTTAAAAATAAATATCACTTCATTCTTGTAAGATTATTTGGCTCAAGGTACCAAGGACCTAATTTTCCTGGAAAAAAAAACCTTCATTTACTTTTTTCAGGCCCCATATTGGGTAACCTTATTTATTTGCTCCGTCACAACCACGTTAGGTCGAATCCCATATTTTAACGTTGGTTTAATAGACAGTTCGTTCGACGATATTTATAAATGCAAAAAAAGGTAAACCCAAATGAAAGGCACATACATAGAGAAAAGGGAAAAAACAAAGAATGCAAAACACCCACATGTACACATGCACACACACAATTACACACACGCACGCACGCACACACCAACACACACACACACACGCACGCACACACACGCGCGCACACACACACACACACATACTCGTACATGTTTATAATTAACATTTAAATTTTATAATTTACAGATACAATTTTACTTAAATTTGAAAAGTATTTTATTCCATACATAGTATTGATACATTGCAATGCAGCAAACAACTTCAATATTTTCATCATCTTTGCGTGACAAACTTATCAATCAAGAAAAATCAGAAAGTTGCACATAAATTGATAGTACCGTTTTTCTTTATAAACAATATACAAAACAAAAAATATAATAATGAAAAGTAAGTAAGATAACAGTTTCTATGTTTTTCTTTGTAAACAATATACAAAACAAAAAAAATATAATGATCTACAAATACTATAGGATAACAGTGTAGAATGTAATTGTAAATGATTACCAAAATGTTTATTCAATATTTTACAATACACAACAACACTTGATGATTCTTGATCAAAACATCACTCTAATTCAACAATATTTACATGTAGTGTATTAGTCCTGACATATATAAATTTCACCAATGTTCAAAGGCTACCTCTACTATTTGTTAGGCTTCGACATGAACACCTGTGCGATAACACCGATCTTTCCGTTGAAAATGTAACCTTTGCCAACTTGCTCAATACTATGTGTTCCTAAAATTTCAAATAATGCATGTTGCAAAAATGAATTAAAACTTCCGCTTTGAACAACCACATTATTTTTTCCACGTGGTTGTCTATTTACTTGTATGCAGAGCACACTTATATCACAGATGATTGTATTTTCACTGATGTTTTCAACTTTTATGTAAAGCCTACCGCCGTTATTTTGTATATTAATCTTCAGAGGAACCACCCAAATATTAGTATAAACTCCTTTACTTTCTTTCGTTCCTTCAGGAATAACATCAATAATAACTATGGTCTTGTCATCCCATTTCTGTGCAGGATCTAACTTCAAATCCTTCTTTCCGTTACGTATTTCTGATGATATGTACTGCTTAAACAATGCATTTTCTTCGGCAACCTCTTCTAGCTCAACTAACTTTTTCTTCATTGATGTATAAACATTTACAAAAATCTCATTTAATGCACTTGCCGAAGGGAACGACTTACAGTAGTTTTCGTCCAATGCATCACATGGTCTAGATGATATTAGAAATATGCATCTAGCACGCAAAGCTTTAAGATCATACAAACATGCTTCATTCAACAACTGTAACAAATCATTCGTCGATGTTTCTTCTGTGACAGTCTCAAGTATAACTACTTCACATCTTGGTTTTAGCTGTAGGTTCTGGTACTCTTCTAACAAAGGAAGAATGATCCTAGCATTGTCGCGATTAATTTGGGTGTATGTGTTCGGGTAAATACATCGAAGGAATTCTAAGACGTCCTTTAGTTTCTTCCCTGGCAATTCTAGCTCGTCACTTGACTTTTCCTTAAAGTCAGATTGGAACATTGCATCAAATACTGGTGACGCAAGTGAAAGAATATTTTTAGCGACGTAAAGCTTTGTTCCTTCAACAACAAGACACAGATCAGTTCTCCAAGATGGTTCAGTGAAACCGAAAGTAGGCGACTTAACTTCGGCTAGTGCTACTGATTCATAATCTTCATCGGTAACGGTATGTTCAACTTCTGCAAAGTCAGATTCGTTTACAAGTCTGACGTTTTCACCTGCCTCCATATTAACATGGAATGTATCTGGTATGTAGTGTATTTCAATCAGCTAACAATGGCGGTTATACATCAAAGGGAGGTAAATCTGATATTTGATAGATCTATGATATATTGCGGCAGGATACTATATAAAACTAAGTTCACATTTGAATAATCTTTAAAACGGTTTCACCAATGTTTTGGTTATATTTACACCAATTTATTTGGGGTTTTATATGGAGGCTATTCGTTGCCAAAAATCCGGCCTTTGAAACTTGACAATGCATACTTCGGTTCTACTGAACAGATAAGTAAAAATCTAATTGTCGATCCACGAGTTACATACTGCACCGGTATTAAGCATTTTGATTATCTCAATTTGATAAAATGGAAGCTGTTTACGTGCAATTTAGATAAATTGCAAACTGTATTTAGAAATGTATAACTTCAAATTTTCGACATGTATAGATGTACACGATAGAACGTACACAACACGTTTTATGCCGCACATTATCACCGTGGGTAAGCAACTATGGTCATGTGACACGGCCAAAATAGCTCGGCTAAGGTAAGTTTTTTTAGTGATTATTTTTCTGTCTATGCTACATATCCTACCGACCGCGGCAGTTCCCATGCTTTCTAAAACTGTATTTACTTTCGTCTAATGTCTTGTATTTTATGAGAACATTCAAACAATATTTGCAAATTGTCGATGACAACGTACACAGTGTTGGTGAAAACTTAATAAACGATACGCATGTCAGTTCTAAGTAAAATTTCAGGTCTTAAAATATGTAAGAGAATGATTTAATGAAAAAAGAACTGGTTTCCTGCTGTCATTTTTTGTATTTATTTAAAATACTCAAACTGTATATAATTACTTTTTTTTTACAAAGGAAATGGTTTAGAGTGCCAAATAAACTTAGACAACTTTTAACTTTTTTATGTTATTTATTTGTACTTTTGTTTTTAGAAGACAAATTTCCAGTTACTCAAACTGCTTAATGATAAGCTGAAATAGCCGTTTTTATATTTTATACTGTATTAATATAGATCATTTTACAATATAGATCGTAATTACAGTCATTTAAATAACGTAAACAGCCAGGATAAGCGTCTCTTGCTCAAGCAACTAAAAAGCTTACCTCAGCCGAAATTTTTTGGCCATGTACGTTGACTTTTGTGGTCACATGACCAAAGTTGCTTAGCCACGGTAACACTCTCAGGTTAAAAACACCACACTTACATTTTACATTCTAACGCGATTAACATTTGTAAACGATTTTGCAACTTCCATAATTATATTGCATTATCACGGTAATAGACGAAGATTAAAAGCAGAGCCAATTTTCACGCGAGCAGAATATAAAGAGAGGCAACTCTTACTGTACAGTTGTAATGAGTACAAAAAAAATCAAATTAAATAAAACTCTTATTTATGTCACAAAAATCAACTGCATTACAGTTGACTTTGATTATCCTCTGATTTTGTTAAAAAACATTCTAGAACAGGATATTCAAGTAATGAAATGTGATTAAGATATAATGTAACAATGTAATAACGTTGATAGAACGTCATAATACTGATAATGAGCACAATAATATGCAAAAACTAAAGTTTTACTAAATCAATTATAGCTTTTAAATTCTAAAAGCTTGTGCCTAAACTTGTTTTCTTTCTGATTAAAAGCAGATAACTATTTTTATGTACAAGAAATATTACACAGAATATGTATTAAGTTTTGTAAGTGATGGCTTTCTTAGTGATAAAAACAAGGTTTTGTTGTTATATTTTCTGGTCCTTCAGGATCATTGATGCCAACACTATGAAGTGTTGAGAATTGAGTACCGCTCAAGCCGGTGCTAGGGGGCGTGAGGGATGTTGCACTTATTCATTATCCCTCATGTACAGACTCAATCAAACCGAGTCTGCAATTCTTATGTTATTTTGTTGTGATTAATGCTTCTGAGGGATCACTTTGTTTCCAGAATTTTGTACTTCACAACAGCAGGTGTCAAGTGCTGTGTGGCAGCCGTAAAAAGTTGCCCCGTACTTCACTTCAGTGTTGTTATATTTTCTGGTCCTTCAGGATCATTGATGCCAACAGTATGAAGTGTTGAGAATTGAGTACCGCTCAAGCCGGTGCTAGGGGGCGTGAGGGATGTTGCACTTATTCATTATCCCTCATGTACAGACTCAATCAAACCGAGTCTGCAATTCTTATGTTATTTTGTTGTGATTAATGCTTCTGAGGGATCACTTTGTTTCCAGAATTTTGTACTTCACAACAGCAGGTGTCAAGTGCTGTGTGGCAGCCGTAAAAAGTTGCCCCGTACTTCACTTCAGTGTTGTTATATTTTCTGGTCCTTCAGGATCATTGATGCCAACACTATGAAGTGTTGAGAATTGAGTACCGCTCAAGCCGGTGCTAGGGGGCGTGAGGGATGTTGCACTTATTCATTATCCCTCATGTACAGACTCAATCAAACCGAGTCTGCAATTCTTATGTTATTTTGTTGTGATTAATGCTTCTGAGGGATCACTTTGTTTCCAGAATTTTTTACATAAATTGATAATCAACATATACATACCTTTGGACTCATTTCTTATCATTTTTGAAAAAAATATGGTACAAATGCGAAAATATATCTATTCTGTATGGTAAAAAGAAAAAGAAAAGTACGAATGGGTACATACAACTTTGGTTTTAATTTTAATATCGTTAAAAGCGTTTTCTTGTCAAGTCATAAGCTAGTATTAAGGTTACTAATGTAATAGTAAATGCTACTACTAGGAAAGGCAACAGTCAGAATTTGATCTGGTATTTTAGTAATTGGTCGTAGCAAAATCTCTACCAGATGTTGGCTTGAAAAATAAAAGTTGTAAGGTAACAGCTTAACAGTCAATCAATGTTATTCATTCCTATGCAAATTGGAATCCCTTCAGTAAATTTTATTTGTCTTTAAAAAGAGCATGTTGAATATAGTCTTAACAATAAGTTTAAGTTCCTTGAAAATTATTTATCCCCAAGCAAAGGTAGATTGAGACAGTTACCTGGTGAGTTTTAGTTTTTTTTGTCTAGGAATTTGGGTATGTTCAACTTTTTAAAACTGCCTATAATCATTTAAATTCCGCTGATGTTGATTGAATAAAGGCATAGAATGGCAATCATGCAAATGAATTATTCTTGGTGAATAACTGTCATGATTTGCAAATAGCTAAAATGTGTGGTTAACGGAATCAACGCCGGTGCGTGTTCTTGCTTTCTCCGCAGCTAGGACGGCAATTAACGGAAGTGAGCGGATAAATGCGTTTATTTACGATGATGTAGTGGGCGGGAAAATGAGCGGGGCTTATTTTATCTCTTATTGCAAAACATGTACAGTTGGATAATGTTGATTCGAATCATAATTGTTTGACAATGTAAAGCTAAGAAGTAACTTCTGTTTTGTCGGCTTAGTAATGCAACTCTTAGAAAATTAGTTATATTTTTGTCGTTTAACAAAATGTATTTTGTTGAAATACATATTTACAATGTTAAATCGGCAAACTCAATCCAAGAATGCAACATAAGAATTTACAACCAAAGAAATACAATTGTATTTTGTCCGTAAACAAACTGTTCAACTCAGATCAACAAGGCTTGATTTTTGGCAACGTATAGCCTCTATAGTTTTATACCTCACATTCAAATAATCTTAAAAACGTAACACCAATGTTTTGGTTATATTTACACCAATTTATTAGGGGTTTTATATTTTGATATCTATCGGAAACTACAAGTGCTGAAGAAGACAAAAACGGCGATGTCTTCTAGATAAATTTAATTAATTGTTCTGTTTCAAAGATTTATGTATCGTTTGTTTCGTTTTCCTGGATTTTGAACAACATTTTAGGTTTTATCTCTATGGTTTTCCCTCTTACCAACAATTTCTCTACAAGTGATTCACTACGATATATGTACTACTGTTATGGTTTATAACAGACTACTTTAAATTTCTCTTTGAACATTGAGTCTAATGCTCATTTGTCTCTGACCACTGAAACAGAAGTCACGTGAGATTAGAAGTCGGTCATTTCCTGGTTATAGACATTCAAGAAAATTGTTAGGTGGACCGTTCGACGAGAAATGGTCAATTTCGGCGCAGATGCCAGACAATAATAATAATAATAATAATAATAATAAAACAATAAAAAATGGTAAATTATTGTGATTGCAACCAAACTTTGAACAGATACAAAGAATACTTTCGGTTTTGTGCAAATGAGTTAGGTCTGAGAATGAGTTATAATTTTGTTCTCTGAAAAAGTTTCAAATGATAGCCGTTTCATTTCAGCCAGAGTCAATCTAGGCGAAGAACAAATACAATAAAGGAAGGTCTTTTATTTATTTCTTTAGTTTTATTAGATTTATCCTATTCTGATATTAAATTTCGTATCTCAAATTTCTATTTTTTTTATTTCAAATCTAACAGTCTCCAGTTTTCCCACATGTGTTTGTACTGATACGTTAATCTATGTGTCTGTCGCATATGTTCCTGGAGTGTACAATACCGTGTTAAATAATCTTCCTGGTCTATAAAATAAGCCATGCTGTGTATCTCGAGCTGAATATTTTTGAAATATTTCACCATTCCAGTTTCTAGTAGATTTTCTAGAACATCAAGTTCGCAGCCTTCACAGTCCATAGAAAGTAGATCTACACTGTATATTCCTACGCCAAGATTTTGGAAAAATTCTGTTGAATTAATGACACTTACATTTATTTTCTTCTGACCAAAATCATTCGAATAAATGTTCGAACCTTCACCTTTCAATTCAATAGCAATCGTTTCCGTTTTCATTCCGAGTCCGAAATTTAGAACAGTGACCCTGCAGATATAAATTACAGACATAAGATATCGATTCACTTTTCTTAGTGTTTTCATTAATTTGTTGCATTGTGTATATGAAAAACATATTGTTAAGTTTAATTCTGTCATTTCTTAAATAAGATGTGTTGACATAAGAAAAAAACCCATATAGATTGGTCTGGAAACGAGACGTTTTCACAAAACAAAGACG